GGAGAACCGTTCACTCCATTAGCTGTTCCCAAACAAACAGTACCAGGAACTATGGACCTGGACCAGAACAGAACAGAACAGAACAGAACAGACCAGACCAGACCAGACCAGAACATACCAGAACAGACCAGAACAGACCAGAACAGACCAGACCAAACCAGAACAGGATTTACTGTCACTGCAGTTCAACATTGGCCGTTCAAACAGAGATGACAGAAAATGACCACGAACTGAAATAAGAAAACACCTTAATCACAGGTGGTAATAAAAGGGTGGGGCGGGGGCTCAGCAGACACATGTTTAAATATTTTGTGGAATTTTCACTGCAGGATTTTCAGTGTTTTAGATAAAAGTTCCGTCCTGTGTTAAAGAAGTAGCTGTGAAAGTATCGACATCATCATGGGGGGGGTGAGGGGTGGAGGGGGGGCAGTGTAGACACAGAGAACAGGATCTTCTTACCCCACCCAGCAGTGAACACATCAGATGTTTTTAAACTGAATTTACTGNNNAATAACTCTCAGTGGAGACGTTTACACTCAGCACCAGCTACAGGAGCAGTGAGCTCATGACAAAAGATTCCCAAATACGTCCAGAGCTGAGGAGGTCATGTGACCGTTAACCAATGACTGCTGGTCCTGGAAAACACTGTGAGTGTGTATGTGTGTGACATGACAAGCACTCTCGGCCTGGTGTGTGTGTGTCATTGGTGGAGCCTGAATACATTGACATATTAGTGAAGCCGGGACCAGTGAGTCACAGCGGTGTCATCTTCACACACGGAGGACAGTGTGGCTGCACAGACGGGACACGTCAGGGGTTTGAAGTCAACGGTTCTCACAGAGACAACGAGAAACGTGGTGACCAATTCTCATAGGTTGAAATAAAAATAGAATCGCTCATCAAGGTGTACGGAGTCGCTGCGTAATCTCAAAAAGTCACTGGTCATACCATGACACTACACACTCCAGGACAGTAGGTGGCAGTGTGCTCCTACTAGATCATTGGATTTGGTTAAAAACAAAGTCATGAATCATAGGGTACGGTGAGTGCAGTGGATCGTTGGGGGTTTGAACTGTGTCAGGTGACAGGGGAGAGTTACTGGAGTTACAGGAGGATGGGGGAGAGAGGGGG